TAGTCGCAAATTAATTAAAGATGTTTCAATTGGCGCAACAATGTCTTTTTTTCAAAAGCAGCTTTCGATTGTTAGCCATCATCATCAGTTGTCTGATAACAATGAGAAAAACACAAAAAAAAAACGCATTAAACGTGAATTAACAACATAGATTATGATAAAGGTTACAATAATTTACAATATTTTTGGAAAATATATTTGACAACGGAGAAATGGAAAGGGGGGGTGGTTAACCTTTTAATACTAAAGACAAGCGACATGAAAATAGAAAATAGACACGCTAAAAATTATTTTTATACAGAAAAACATAGAAATGTAAGTTGAGCCGTCCTACTGTCGAGGAGTGGATAGCCACAAAACGCTACGCGGTCGGGCGAGCCAGGGGCTTTAAGTACCCTGGCCGTGGGTGGAGGAGGGCAATGGCCTGGGTTGGGGCCGCTGTCACCCGTGCGCCCGCGGTGGGGTGGTGTGGGAGTGTGGTTAGTAGAATTTAGTAAAGGAGAATGGACTATTGTTTGTTTCTTAATAAGTTATTATTTAAATGATGTGTATGGTTTTCTAAGTATTAGTCATGGTTGTTAGCTTCTCCTTACTATGAAATTGAATACTAACTAGAACCACTCCACAATGCCACACCCCTGCCGGGGCGGCACGGGAGTGACAGCGCACGCACCCAGGTCATTGCCCTCCTCCACCCACGGCCGGGTACTTAAGCCCTCGCCTCGCCGCCGACCCGCGTAGTCGTTTTGTGGCTTCCATCTAGCAGGTAAGGAACGGCTCAACTTACATTTCTATGTTTTCTGTATAAAAATATTGTTAGCGTGTCCCTATTGTCTATGTTTTTCATTCGCCTTTTCTTGTTAGTATTAATGGCGTTAACCCCCTTTTCCTTTTTCTCCCGTTGTCAAATATATTTTCCAAAAAATTGTGTAACATTATTCGTAACCTTTATCATAATTTGTTGTTAATTCACGTTTAATGTTTTTGTTTTTTGTGTTTTTCTTCTTGTATCAGCAAACTGATGATGATGGATAAGCCATCGAAAGCCTGCTTTTTAAATAAAAAACATTGTTTGGCAATTGACATTCTTTATTATTTTAAAATGCCAAAGGATATCCTACACAACACCTATATAAGCGCAATTAACCCAATTTATTAATACAGGCAGAGCGCAAAGAAATAATTTAATGAGGCATGTCGCTCGCTTGGGGAGCCGCGGTGCGTTGCGGTGGCAGCTGGGAACACACGTGTAAGTGAACAAGGGCCCAGAGGCTTGCGGTGAAATTAAGAGCACAAGCTATTTTTGGGTCGGGTACTATGTATCAGAAAATGCTCAAATTCATACAATGACATCATCCTTCACTGTTTTTTCCCTCTACAGCTACATTTGTTGCAAATTTGTCAAATTCTAATAAAATCGTAATTTGTACTTTCAATCGCATTTTTTCCTCGTTCACCAGCTCTTGATAAAATTTGGTTCAACTAAATTCCACATTGATCCTTAAAATATTTGATCGAAATCAGTCTAGTCATGGGTTTCAACAGGACATCATGCAATTATTCCTAGCGGATGTGCATTGAATACATTATTCAATCTTCTACTAGAAAATGTAAAATATCAGTCCCACCATCTTAAACCCGTTGTCGCCATCCACAACCGTAAAGATCACAAATTTTGAATTAATATCAAGTTCTAGTTGTATTTCAATATTAATGACAGCAACAATCTCAGTTCACCTTCCGTTAAAACTTAATCCTTTTACTAACGGGCGTTCGCCTAACTCTGTGTCACCGATTGCTTCCGGTGTTCTCTCAGCCGAGAAAAGCCACTCCCCACCACCGCACCTGCACAGTCTCTACGCCTAGTGGAGTTCTCCCGCGACCCCCGGCGTTTTACCTACTTAATACCGTTCTCGTTCCTACTTCCGGTTCCATTCCTGTCCCTGCTCTCTCCTTCCACTACACCTCCCCCACGTCTCCCTGTAACACGCCATTGGTTCGCAACGCCACCGTTCTGCCCTTTCCCTCTCCTCCTCCACAATCCCTTCCACCTCCATCCCTGTCCATCCATCTCTACTCTCCGCCCATCTCCTCTAACTCTCGATTCTTTACACTCTCCATCCTCCCCCTATCCTCCCCCCCCTGTCATCACCACTTACCCCGTCTCCCATCCCCCATACTAACTAATTCCCCTCCTCTCCAAAATTCTCTCCTCTTCTTGATTCTCCCTTCTTGTCTACTTCCCTCTTCTTTCTTTTCATTCTCTGCTTCGCCTCTTCATCCTCCCTCCATCCTGTACTTCTCTCTTCCCCCGACTCTTCTCTTCCTCCACCACCTAGCATCTTCTTTTCCCTCTCATCTCCCTATCTCTTCATCCTTTCCTTCCATCAGCTTCCAATCCACTCCTGTCTTCTCCCTTCCACTCCAAGATTCTCACACCCGGCACATCCTTCTCCCAGCCCCACCCGTCCTGCCATCCCGCTTCTCCCAGACGGGCGCCCTCGCGGCCCCGGCGCAAACGCTCTTACCGCGCGCGCCCCCTTTCGCCCAGAAGCGTTCTTCGACAGCGCCGCGGCCGCGCTGGCGCTGTCCGTGTCATCCGCGCGGCGCTTTGACGAGCAGCACACGGAAATTGTTTCCACCGGCTGACTTAAATTACATTCCATGAGCGTCGTCACTGTTGAGGCCGCGCGTCCGCGCAGCCGCAGTCGCGCTGCACGCCGACTCGAATCGGCGCGCTGCGTGGCGATGGCGCGGGAGCGGGGGGGGGCGGGGCGGCGTGGTGTGACGGTGTGCGCCAGTGCGGGGGTGAGTGACGCGTGGAAGAGTAATGTGCGAGCGTGATGCGCGGAGTGGGGTTAGCGGACAGCGGGCTTTTGTTGCGATTAGAATGTGCGCAGCGAGCGGTAGTCAAGGACGAGGGTGAGTGTGTGTGTTGTGGAAATCAGGGGAGGGACGAGGAATATGGCGGGCGGGGAAATGGGGCGAGTCGGGGTTTCATGGAGGGGGGTCGCGGGGCGTAGGGAGAGGGTGGCGTTGAGTTGGGGTGGTAGCAGGGGGGGGGGTGAGGTGGCGGGCACGGGCGCGCAGCGTGGAGACACGGGGCGACGTGTCGGCGGGCGCCGGTTAATATGGGAGTGGGGCATGTGCGCTGAGTGAGGCGAAGGGCGTGGAGTAGGGGGGGGCGAAGTGTCACGGGCTAGGGGCGAGGGGCGTAGAGCGTGAGGCGCGGGGCAAGGGACGTGGCACGTGGCACGTGGCACGTGGGACGTGGGACGTGGGACGTGGGACGTGGGACGTGGGACGTAGGGCATGAAGCGTAGGGCGTGTTGTGTGGGACACGGGCGTGAAGCGCAGGGACGGGGAAAACAGAATGCAAGAGCCGCGTGGGAGTGGTGTAAGCAGAGAAAACGGATATCTTGCGGACCGCGTTGACCTCTTGGACACCAGAGAGGAATGTGAGCTTGGTTTGATGGATAGGGCTGCGAGGTCGCGTGGGTGACATTTCGAAAGATCGAAAAGAGGAAACTGGGAAACTCTGAAGACAGCGAGGATTCCCGGCTTGCTGCGTGTTTGCGAGGAATAAATGCGCTTCGTGAAGTTTAGAAATGCGATAGTTAGTACTAGATTAGTAATCGAGATAATGTTTACTTACATTAGTACACATGTGGACAATAGCCAAAGTCGTTAGCTGTCGGTCTAAATTGCCATCGCCCCAAATCACAAAGTTCCTTCAAAAAGTATTTGGTGTCTCAGATTCGAAATAATCCGAGTTTAATCTGAATCAGAAAAAAGAATATTTCTAGTAATTGTATACATTCCAGCATGAATAAACATAACCATTTGAAACAATCTGAATACAAAACAACAAATTTGTGCCGGAAATTGTTTTTTAAGATATTTTCATGCATTTTATGGATACCAATGATAAATTCAGTACTTCGCACCTGCACGCTTCACGAACACTATTCAAGTACAGATTTAACCTTTCATTACACAACAATGAAAATGACTTTGAAGGCTGGTGAGGCTGCTATGCGATTTGTACAAGAACTCTAGCAAATCTGTGAATATGGGAATGACAAGACTCTTCTCTTCTGACAGTTGCTCAAAATAGAATTAGAGCAAGATTGATTATATTCGGTTTCTTCCAGTTGCATAGAAAGTTATTGTTCCCCATTCCGCTTCACTTCTAATCTCAAATGTAATGTGCACACACACACACACACACACACACACACATCTTAAGTACTTTATCTCGTACAGTCAAAACTATTTTCGAGTTTGAAGAGAAGCTATATTTGATCTAAAAAGAAACCATTGTTGGACCAAAATCAGCGGAGAATAGTTAAATGTTAGAAACTGAGTGTTTACTGTAAAATTTGTCAGTTCAGCGTTCTCGCGCGCATTATGAGAAAAAATTTAAGATCGTTTAGAGTGGGAAGAAAATAGACATACGCGGCCAAAAGAGTGAGGACAAAAACCTAGGAAAATTGCACTCGTGCTACGCGATGACCGACTTCAGATCGGCGGCTGCCACAGATGGCGCCATCGACTTTTTGCCTCTGCCACTCTCATATCTCGCGGTGGAAGAAAGCGGTTTGGTGAAGTCCCCGTCACAGCGGACTAGCTCAGTCAATACGTCTAGAAACTACTTTACCGCTTCTTCTGGAGTAGATAAGAAGCGAAGTACAGACAGTGTAAAAGTATTCAAACACTTTAATGTAACGCAGAGTAATTTCGTAGACGTATAGAAAATGGAGGCGGAAAAATTTCTGCAGCATTCTTAGTGATGGCAGTGAAGATAATAGAAAGAATATAATAAATGAAAATGTATCCATCAAAAAGGTAAGCAAGAAATGTCTTGTAGTATGTCGTCGCAATAACGCACGAAGTATATTTTCATCGAAAGTTTCATTGCTTACTTTGAAAGAAAATATATTATGTGTAAATATTTCTAATTGATCCTCCTTTAAATATATTTTTAAATTGTTCTATAGATGTTAGTAAAGCCAGAAAAAGAAAAAGTAAATTCTAATCATTACTCACAATATTCTGTAAATTTTGGATTTCAGGCATTCTCACGGTACGTACATGTGCCACTTTTGGAGGAATGCTGAATCAGTATTGTTTGAATTATTGTATGTTGCAATTTAGTTAAAACGTATTGTTCAGAATTTATGTTCTCATAAAAATCGTACTTTGTGTAAATCAACATTATGTTCAAAAGCCCTGTTCGGTATCTATTACTTTAAACCAGTTTATGTTATATGTGTCCCGTGGAAGAGTTCGGCTCTTAACTGTCCCATTTGATGACTTAAGAAAATTAACAAATTCTATTAAGACGCTGCAACGTTGTTAATCTCTCTGGCATCACTCCCCTAGTCATCTTAATATTCTCAAAACTAATTGTATGTGCTTCACAGCAAAATTCTCTTCTTAATTGAATTCACTCCTTTGAAACTCATGCTTTATCAAAAGCTAAATGCATCAAATTTAATTTTCTCATTACACCTTCCTTAGACATTAGACTTTCGTTGTTCCTTACGAAACGGTAAAGACAATAATAATCGGCATAATATACTCTGCTGAACTGAGAATTGTTGTTGACATCTGTTGCCCCGGAGAGCACAACTCAAGCTATATGTATGATAAGATTACGAACGTTTCTTCTTCAATCATTATTTTCGAGAAACCTGTCTGATTAGTAAGTTCATATCTTCTTCAGTGCGTATGTTTAGTTTACTGTAAATATAGTTTCTTTTTTGTAAATTGCAGAACCGAATTTCTTTCTCCGGCAAGGAATCACATCCGCCTTTGGGCGATGATTCGCATTTATACCATACGCTCATTCATCACTAAAAACGGTTCTATTTGGTGAAAAGAATTAAAAAGCATCCAAAATGAAAAAGTGGAAACATTTACAATAGTGAAAAGGAATAGAAGTATGTGAATTAACTCCCTCTGACGGGGACTTCACCAATCCGGCTTCTTCCACCCCGAGATTGGCAGAAGCAAAAAGTCGACTGCGCCATCTGTGCCAGCCGCCGATCTGATGACGGTCATCGCGTACCAGGAAATGGGTCAAGGGATTTTGGTTTTTCCGCTAAATAAATAGTTCAAACTTTGCTCTTTCCAAATATTTCAACATCTTTCTTCCAGGTTGCTCGAAAGTTCCTTTAATTCTTATTTAAATGTTTAGTGCGCATGAGCAACGCCCTCTTTTTTGACACTGCATACAAATGCAGGGTATGTGCTATTTTTGTTTGTTTGTAATTTTCATTGTACGTAAGGATGATAATGAGTTCATGAAACATGCTCTTCCTCATACGTTGGTAGTATTGGTCTTTTCCGCTGAAAACAATCCAGACTACGTAGGAGGAATGTTCTAGTAGAGCAGCGGCAAGTATAGACTTTTTTCAAATGGAGTTTCCTGAAAATGTACAAGTTTTGCATTTAATGCACCATTTCTCGAAAAATATTATTCACCGTTTATTGAAATGTATAGGATACATCCCTTAGTATTGGTAATAAATTAACATTTTGTATAAACATTTTTATTATTATTTTTTTAATGTTTACATCAATATTACTGCATCAATTGGATGGGCTGGATCGAGCGGGTGGCCTGTGCGTGGAATGCAGTTAGTTCGACCCTTCCCAAACATTCCCAAGATAACTCATAAATTGAGGCACGAAAGACCACCCAGACACCTGTAATAATAATAATAGGCTACCATCACTACTGCAGTTCTGGGACTGCAAGGAGGTAATTTTGTGTAGGTACTTCTTACCATGAGACAGTGAAGTTCGAGTACATGAAGATATATTTGTAAAAAGTAAAAGGTACACTATAACCTATATAACCTATGAATATGGAATTAAACAAATGTTACAATGAAAAACAGTTTGAAATAAATGTTATAATGAAAAACAAATAATTGTTTCAAGACAGACGCGTAGTGCATCAGCTCGGGTGAGCTGGCGAATGCCCGCAGGAGTGGCATACCGGTTGGTGCGCGTGGCAGGCGTGTTATGAACCCAGGCCCATAGCAGACAGGCGGAGAGCGTGAATGGGCCCAGCGCCGTTAGCAAAACTCTTGCCAGGACGTGGTGCTGAAGACGTGCTGCAGGTACACTCGCACACACGTGAACGGGCGGAGCGCCGTTGGTGAATGTGAAGCGTCTGCAAACATGCGTGCAACACAGCTGCGCCGCATGAAAAAAAAAGACCATGATAGTGCAACAGTTCACACGTGGCACTATTGCTTGCTAGGGCGCACAGCATCAGAGACGTGCGGCAGCAGTGCACGGACACGTCTGGTCGGGCCGAAGGCCAGGTTGCGAAGAAGGTGTGAGCAGCCTTGTACAAAGGCGCGTCGGTTACTCGTCCGCTAGGCGAGAGCCGTCGAGCATCTGCCACGTCACGCGGAGACGCTTCTTGAGGCCCACACAAAGCAAGAGCCTGGCACCGAGGCGCGCTGGTCGCTGGTCTTCCAGGCGAGAGCAGTCGATCATACGCCACGTCACGCTTCTGGGAGCGGCGCGGCGGTAGGCAGGTAGTGGTGTTGGGACATGCTCACGCAGGCCAACCCGTGGCGGCAGGCAAGGGCGCCTGTGTAAGCCTGCGCCCCCGTGGGTGGCTGGGCGAACCATTTGGAGCAAATACATTGTATGCATTCGTTAGCGTGCAAAAACCTGATTAAGTGTGCCCTTTGGAGAAATGAATTTATTGATAATAAATTATATAATAGAAAATCAGCTTTGTTTGCTCTAACATCAATATTAGGCAATTTAACATGGGCGGTATGCATGATACCAACTTCCCTTAAGAAATTATAATTAGTAATTTTGAAGTAACTGCCGGCAGTAGCAGCATTAACTATTTTTTGACTGACATAAGTATTTGTGTATTTTAGAAAGGATCATAAAACTTTAATTGCAACTTCATGCTAAATTAATCAGTAAACGATTTGTTATAATTTGTTCTTAAATGTACTGTTAGTATGTATATTAATGATGTTCAGCGCAGTGCGATGGATATTGAAAGAGTGAACTGAATGAAAAGGTAATCTATCACATACAACTGTACAGGAAATACACCACTGATCATCACAGTTAGTAGAGTTAGTCTGCAAACGCATCTTCGGGCGAGATGCATGTTGATTTCAACACGGACGCTGAAGTCACGATGTCACTCAAACTAATGCAAATAGACTTTACTTGGTGAATGGCACACCCGTGGGTGCACCGCAGCGCACGACTCAGAGCATCTTGCTGCCGCACGGATACGCGAAAGGAAAACAAATTTGATTTGTGAATGGAGGGTGGGGAACTAATCGCCCAATCAAATGAACGTACCTGAAATGTTCCGGAAGTTTTGAGAACTCAAATCGCATCAGGCGGTTAAGACCCGTCGGCGATTCGCTGAAACCTGGCGTGCCGGCAGGTGGGGAGCCGTGGGCGAGATTCGCAGAAATCGCGCGCGCCGTTGAATAAACAAGTGCTAGGGAACGGGGTCACTTCTAGTGAACTGCGCCACCGTTGGCAACCTTCTAAATACAAGGTAAATGGTTGAGAATAAAAACTTCGTGTGAAAGAATGAAATGCGTGCCTAAATGCCGTAGAAAAAGCCTGAGTTGATTCGCATAATTACAGTATGTGCATACGTGACTAAGATGTGCATGGGAATGTAAATTTCCAAATGAAATATTTTTGCCGAGTACTTTAACTGTGTCATTTTTTCCTATATTATTAATATAGTCGTACAATAATAATGATAATAATAATGATAATGATAATGATAATGATAATAATAATAATAATAATAATAATAATAATGATAATGATAAATTTGGCCCCGTGGCTCAGACGGTTGCGGCAGCCGTCGTCTGCACCAATGAGGCTGCAGGTTCGAAACATGGTCGTCTTTGTGATTGTCCCTTCACCCCTAATCATCGTCCTATCATCTTATAATTCACACTTTGAGGTGTAAACAATCTTGTCGTACAGGGATACAGCTGATCCTGGAAAAATTACACACGTTAAGACCATCGCATAGCGTGGTCAGTAATGCCCTATATGCCAATAATAAAAATAATGATAATAATAATTATAATAATAATAATAAATAATTTGAATTAGTGCATAGTTTGTGATGTTTTCTTTGTAATAAGGTAAATGATTTCAGTGAAAAGCGTGTTCTAAACCGCGGCGTGTCCTCTTTCTGTGTGGCAGGGGTGGACTAGGCCGCCGCCGCCCGCGATGGGTCCGCTGTGGCCGCTGCTGCTGGCGGCGCTTGGCTGCGCCGCCGTGCTGGCCAACCCGGACGCCAAGCGCCTGTACGAGGACCTGCTGAGCAACTACAACCGCCTCATCCGGCCCGTGGGGAACAACTCGGACCGCCTCACCGTCAAGATGGGGCTGCGCCTGTCGCAGCTCATCGACGTCGTAAGTACCTCCATTCAGTACTCCAGAGGGCGGATGATACGTCTTTCACCGAAGGGGACCAAAGCGACCGCCTGGGCGAGGCAAGCTCACGGCCGCCGCATATTGCTGCCCGTGCTTCACGGCCGGCAAGTCGTGCGATTAGCCACGACTCCGATAACCCTGTGCCACAAACAGCGTTCTGTGCAGGGACAATGGCTTGACCATTTTTGACGCGAAAGAATATTTTTTGCGGCACACTCGTTCCATATAATTCAACCATCCGTGCATTTATAAGCCATGTGGAGAGGCTAATGAGGATGTAATAATTAATTTTTAGTCCTGAGGTACGACCAAATCCCCCGGTAATCACAAGTCACCTGATGTAATCCATGGCAGCTTTTTACCTCGGAGATGTTGAAAGGTCAGATTTAGGCGTAAACCCTCATTTGTACGAAGGCTTCCGACGCTGTATCAGTATGTAGTATGAAAATCTGGTCTGAATCATGGAGAACATACATCAAAACGTTCTGAAAGTGGCCAAAAATGCTGCCAAGCAAATGGACACCACTCTATTCTCTATAATACGTTTTGTGCGGTGGAAATGTCTTGCATCTCTACACGGGAGCCCACGCGACTGACGCCACAGCGAGCTGGGCGTCGCTGGTTTTTCGGCTACCGATAAGTTCGGAGTTAATGCATCGTTTCTTAGTCTTATCTAAGGTGCTACTTATTTTTTTGTCACAAATAAAGGTTCAGATCTGATTTTGTGATGTCTTATGTCAGAGAAATTTTTTTGAAAACCTTACAGGATCGTATCTATATAGCAGTGCCGGAATTGAATTCATACCAAATCAGTAGTAAGTATCTAATAATTGTAAAAATGATTGTAATTAAAAATGTGCGTTAGTTCGAAAACTGAAGAAAAGGGAAGAAATGCAAGCATTGTGATAATATTGTATCGCCGATATCTGTTTATTAATCGTACTTTTTGTGATAAGGTAAAACATATTCCAGTAGCGGTTTGAGAGTATCTGGTACTTAATCACTCGATAGCACAGAGAAAATATGATGCGGGATGTAGTTACTTCAAAACTACATAGTGGAGTGGATTATCCATTTTATGTCAATAAGCAGTTAGGCACTTAACACGTAAGGTTAATGTTTTTGCGATTCAATAATGAGAAATATTGAGAAAAATCTTATCTGATCATAATAATTATAATTTATATGATTCCTTGATCATTGGAAAATATTTTTCCCTCATAGAGCGTTTGTGCAGCAGCATAAGAACACAGATTTTAATATTTCCTGCTATTATTTCCCCAGATCCCTTAAGAAACAAATTAAACATATTATTTGGATGTCTAAAAGGAGGAGAGATTTATACATAGAGAAAAAACGTTCGCATTTCATATTATTTACTAGGTTTCTAAGGTAAGAGCTAGTCTCAAATATCAAAAATGGATAGAAATAAATGAAACAGAAAACTATTTTGAAGCGCCTAGCATTCAAATCTATTCGTGAACGCAATTGATATATGCACAAATGTGTTATCTACGTAAATAAATTCTGTTCATTCCCCTACTTGAAAAGATTAACTAAAAGTATTAACTATGTGGATTACGTTGCATGTATACTATCTTGATAATATATAATAATGTTATAGTATGTTGATAAATAATAGCAATTTCATCAGTAAATTTTGTGAAAATCGTTTTAATAATGAATTAAAGATTTGTTTATGTAAATGATTGTATTACGTGAAACTTGCGTAATTAGTGTTTACTATTTATAAAGTTTTCACTCTAAGATAATACATCTTTAAGCATAGTATCAGGTTTATCTCTTATTCTTTGTTGACTGATCACAATAAGAATTTTGTATCAATGAAAAGTGAAATTTACGTCCCTCTCATCTTTGAGGATTGAGGCAAGCCTTAGCATGTCTTGGCTTGGGACAATTAATTTTGTGATAATTACTTTAGTATTGTGTACAATATTAGGAATATAAAAAAATTACAATAAAAAGATGTATTGCTTTTGAAACAGTAACGATCTTAAATAGCAGTGAACTAAATAGTAAATTATTTGCGAAATAAGGACTTCATAAAAAAAGGTTTTTGTGGCAATGTCTTTGGGTGGTCGTTCATAAAGAGGAAATAGTGAAGAAGAAAGTTAAGTTGAAGTTCGTAAACAATTAACTTGATAACTACTGGAAGTTAATTTTTGTAGACAGAGTTCTAGTGACCTAAGAGAAAACAAACCTGACAGAACAACGTTTAAGTTGTTAAGAAACTTTACTTCGGAGTCATCCAGAAGGGAAATAATGAATTTCTAATTGTCAATAATTTAAGGACAGACCTTCACCCAGGGTATTTGTTGTTAATTGTTATACAATGATCTAAAATAACATGTTATCTTTATAATTACTATTATTATTTAACTTTTCAAGCCTCGTGTATTAGGATGATCATGTTTCGCATAAAAAATTATGGGCTCAATATATTTGTTTTCTGGAAATTAGTTTCATCTTTCCCCAGAAAAAACTACACTAACTGTTTACTTACGAACTGGTATTTACCTTTTTGGCAAAATTTGTTAATATATGTCATTCGTTACAAAATGTCTTTTCCTTTCTGCATTTCAAAAAATTCTCGTCTTTACCGCAATCTTCTCTGGATACGTTTGGCAATGAACACAGCGTAACCTAAATGGTTTAATTTCCAATAGGCAGGTAACTTCCTTCTGTCTTTCATTGCAAATACGCCTGCTGCAATAACTGATCGGTCAAGTGCAGCAGTTTTGCTACGGCACTAGTGAATATACAACTAACGTTCTCCATAAAGGTTAATTTTGGTCACTTTCTAAATAAATAATTATTATTTCTTAATAAAGGGTAGTGTATTGGCGTCAATGAATTACTAAAGCGCCAAGTTTTGGCGTATCTGAATATAGATAAAAATACTTAGTTGAATATAACTGTATGCTCAGCATCTGTATTTTGCAGAAAGAATGGTTTGTTAGTTATTTTCAATATTTATTGAACACAAAGGCTGATAAAAGTTTGTGCTTAAAGCAAAAAAAGCTTTCAGGTTTTATTTTCAATGAAAATAAGAATTCGTTAATGAGAAGAAAGAAATTCGCGTCTGTAAGATTATGAAAGAAAAAGTTAAGGCAGATCAAACGATGGGTAAATTATTCTTCGAAACTCAACGTTTTATCTTGTAGACAAGTTACCCAGACTCTTCGTGAAAGTTGTTTGTTATAACTGTTAATTATTTTGAGTAACGAGTGCCATTACCCATCAAGAGGAGGAACCTTGAGGAAAATATTCAAGTTTTCGATTATTTTTTATCAAACATATTTATAATACGCATAGTGTTGTTAGTTGCCGTTGCGTCAGTCGGGCAGAATAAAATAGCATATCCTCTATTGAAAATAAAAGATTTTTTGATTTTTTACTGCACAAATCAGTTTCTATTACATCTTATATTATGATACATGTTTGAAACAGGTGTGGTGATCCGTCAGTGTTTATTGTTCGTCTAGAACTATCTCTCTGTGCTCTAGAATTAACACTGAGATATACGAAGAGAATGTGGTCATGTGATAAACACGAAGAAAAATATCCGCGTATATTTTGTTACCTGTAGTTTTATGTGATTGAATATCGCTTCGTTCTATTGAAGGGATTTTGCAATGAATATTTTTGTATCATTGCTATAAAAATGTTTCTATCTTTCTTTCGTGTTCACACATAGATTGTAAATTAGACGAGCTCAATGTGACTAAAAATTAATTGCGAAATTTATCTTCTTATATGCTTTCCCGGCTCCTTTTTTCTTGTTATGTTAAAAATGAACTTGAAAAAATGTCCCTGTCCTGGTATTTGAACCGCCACCCTTCCAACAGACCTGCTACAACAGAAATTCCCCTGATCACCAAAGTTTTACAAGTATAGAATTTAGAACTTACTTATTGATTGAGTATAAAATGAAGAAAATATTTGCAATTAAAAACTTGATTCCAAGAATTTCGTAACTCTGAAATATTTACGATCATAAGCGTGTTAAATGATAAAACACACCTGTAAAGCAAAAACTACTACCATGCAACACGCTAAAAAAAATACGTAAGTCTAATTTCTGAATATTCAGAATGTTTTAATGAAAAATTGCTTATGTAATTTAGTGCATTATGTCTATCCGTACAAAACAAAAAAAGTAGCCTTTTTAAAAAATAATGTAGATGCTTATTTTTTAATTCTTCTGATTTCGCATTTTTTAATTCTTCTGATTTGATTCTCATTTACGCGAAACTACCAACGTTTTGAATAACCTGTACATCACGTAATTAGAAAAAGTTAATTGAATAATAGATTTTAATTAAAAAGAAGCATCCCTTTCAAAATTGTTATTATGTGCATCATTTGAATTTTCAAGCACAGTACACCAAAGTGTTGATTCATTAGATGTTGTGAAGTTTACTTCAAGCATGTAATTGTCCACACCCCTCGTCATTGCTCTCTTATAGAGGAAACGCAACTTGTAAATTACTGTAATATCTTCCCTAATCATGCCCTCCAGCAACGATTTTCTGTCTGTTTTAATTCGCGTATGAGCGACGGCCAAGGTCCCTTAATCGGCCTTTAAAGCGCGCGCAGAAGGGAGCTGACGTTGTAATTTAGTGAACACAACTCCATATAAAGTCGGCACAAACATGCCGGGCCGCGCGGGCGCGCTCGTCGTCCCCGCTAACGTCGGCACGTGGCGGGCGTTATTGTGCGGCAACTTTGTGCGGCTTCCGCCTCCTCCTCCCCTGGGGGCGCCGCGTCCGGCTGCCTGCGCGGAGACAGCCGGCGCCGCCGCGGCGGCACGCCCCGTTCCTCTGGCGAGACGCCTCGCACCTCGGCCCCAGGCACTCCCCTGCGGCTGGCGCTTTTTGTACTGCCGGGTGGTTTCAAACGGCCGTTCTTGATTGGAATGGTTTTCCATACATCGCGAGAAAGAGTAGAGAGTTTTT